ATGCATACAAAGATGTGGGTAAAGGTAAAAAGGGAAAAGAGAATCAATCAATATATCAATATTTTCTTATTTTTGGAATGTTAATTAATGAACTGGTTTAGGTTCGTTAACGTTTATAATTGACCTACTGTTGTAGGTTTTAAAGAACTATGTGTTGGAGACAAACTTTTAACCCAAACTTTGCTTTGGGTTAGGTTTAGGGTTGGGTAATAGCAAGGACACCAGACTTTTAGCATGATCGTATATAGCTGTTGCCCACTTGGTGCTAGCCCCCTGTAAACCTGGTGTGTGCATTCCTAGCACACCTTTGTATTAAATTTGGTATGGCTGCCATAGAGCCCCATTGGATTATTTTGGTGATGATCGTATATAGCTGTTGGCCACTTGGTGCTAGCCTCCTGTAAACTTGCTGTGTGTGTTGGTATTAAGCCAGATTACGTGTGTGTCAGGTTTTTGCGGCTCTAGCTTGTTCCTTTAGTATAGCTGTCATAGACTCCCATTGCTTTGGGCTGGGGACCTGAGAGGTCCTGGAGCCTGGGCCCTTCTGGGATAACTTTTGAGAGGAAGGTCCTAGAGAGTGGGCTCTACCCCCCCCCCCCCTAATGTGGCCATTGTGGTTCGATTGGTACCAAGTTTGAGGTTCTAGGACCTTGGGAAGGGATAATAAATCCCCTTCACCATATATGGTGACTAGTGACTAGTAGTTAAACCTACTTGGGTAGGTTTTAGAGCCTTGCAAGTGGGCTCTACCCCCACTAAGTGGGTGATTGCGGGTAAATACGTAGATAACAGTTTGATGCTGGTAGGACCTTGGGAAGCGTGAATGCGCGGCCTGATCCATGTTTTCCATGTGTGTGTATGTGGTGAGCTGTCTGTGGGTGTGTTTGGTTGGTGGGAGAGTGGTTGAGGTTAGGATAGAGGTGTGGTTGGGCTTGGCTTTAGTGTCTGGACCTGTCTTGGTGGGTTGGGAGTGGTTGAGGTTAGGATTAGGTCATGTTCTGGTTTGAGAGCTGTCCTGCGTCCCACGAAGGCATGATCAGTGGTAGAGAGTGCCAACCATTATGAATGTGTCACATTTGGGCCTGGCTACAACATATCCAATAAGCAGAGCTCTGACATGTTTTGAAAGAAAAACATATCCTATTTGACCAACTTTTTCAGAGGATGTCAGACTTTTGTCAGACAGTTTGCACTTTTCTGTTTTGTTTAAAGAACCCATATGACCTTTCTTTCATAGGGACAGGTTTGTCTTTCTGATTTTTTTTTTTTCAAAGAAAGAACTTTCACAGATAATACACTGGTCAGTGTTTTTGCTGCATTCTACGACGGGATTGAACAGCTGTATTCATAAATACTTTTATTTTCCAGTCACCTTGGTTTTCAACTGTTTCAAGTTCATGATAGTGTTTTCAGAGACAGGTATATTTATAGAAGGGAACTCCTATGGCCATACAGTTTATGTATCGACAGATTTAAAAAAATAATATCTTAACTGGAAAAGTGGTTAGAAATATTCTCTCAAAAGTCCAGTTAAAATGATGCACGCAAGTGTGTGTGTGTGTGTGTGTGTGTTTGAATGGTTGACATTGTGTGAGCCTTTTTATATTAGTCCAGGATGGAGTTTTACAATGCAGAATCATTGACTAACACACAATGAATGTTTGTTATGTAAAAACCATACGACTTTCTAAGTGGTCAAGCTTGTCACTGCTCTCTTGTCTTCTGGGTTTTACAAATGTTGGTTAACTAGTTCATACCCAGCAATCACCAGATCTTAAAGAACATCAGGTTGTGATGTTTTCAAGACGTTTCAGAAGATTGTTCTTTTTTGTTCTTGTTTTTGTAACGGGTGTAGTTAGGACCCAGGAGCAGTACGACAACACCAGGACTGGTATGATTTAAGTTCTTTATTTTCAACACCCGACAGGCAGAATATTCTCCGGAAGAATCAGCGACAGGATTCTCATGGTCAAGAAAGGCTGAGTAAGTTACCAGGGCAGAGGCAAGGCGCAGTAGTCCGGAACAGGCAGGGTCGGCAACAGGGAATCAGTCCATGGGTGAATGCGGGAAAGTCTAGCATGAATGCAGAGAACGATCTGGCAGCGAGTGTGTGTGAGGCAGGTGTTTAAATAGTGAAGAGGCAGAGTGAGCAGGTGAGAGTGATGGGCTGATGAGGTGATGAGGTGAGTGTGACTGGCAGGTGCACTGAATGAACTGATTAGGTGAGTGAAAGGTGGAAAAAGCAAGATAGAAGTGACAGAGCTGTGACAGTTTTAGCTGATATTGTTTTATATTGTAAATAATCTGTGAGTTCTTTGTATATTGTTTTAATGTTGATAAGTTTAATAAATGTTTTTGAACTTTTCATTATTGTTTAATCTTATTGTTCAAAACAAGATCAATTACACCAGATATGGTTAATATTTGTGGTTACACTTATCAAAATGTGTTTTCTGTGCCTGCATTACACTAACAAACTTAGTTTTTCCTTTACTACTTTGACTTGAAAGCTAAATACGTACCACATCAAATTCCAAACTTTATTTAAAGGGCACGCGTCATACTGCTTGTATAGAATCACAAGCACCTGCTCCTTGGAAAGGGATCTGATCATTTAAACCCCTATAAAGGCCAACACAGTGTACTCAGGCAAAATGTGACCTTTGACTTTCGTGATGATAGAGCAAATTAATCAAATTTACAACGAAAGAGGAAACTAATATTGTATTTCACTATGCACCACAGCATTATATCTTCTCATCTCGGCCCTTTGACCTCTTGTTTTAACCATTCATTTCAGGATTTAAGTGTGACAAATAAATCAATGAGGTAGGTAAATTAGGCTTAATGTCCAATAAGAATGAACCAAACATCTTTATTTTTCAATTGTCATTATTTATTGCCTCGTGATCAACACGTGATCACTCTTCCATGTAGGTATGTTTAGTTCTTAAATGACGCATAGATAACATGTAAATACATGATGTATACAACTAATGTAAATTAACCATAAACATGAAATAATCAGCATTAAATGCATCTGTATCAATAACCTAGATAATTAACAAAGGCAGAGGTAAATATGTATAATTATATGGTTTAAATACACGTATACTGCCATCTAGTAGTAGAAAGGTGAACACTTACTTTGCGTGTCCTTACAGCAGGGGTCACCAACCTTTTTTAAACTGAGAGCTACTTCAAGGGTACCGAGTAGTACGAAGGGCTACTTGTTTGATACAAACTTCCTGAATAAGAAAGTTGCACAGATCACTTTTTAATATGTGTGAAGAGACTGTCTGATCACATGTCAATGTTAACTATTCCTCACAATAATTATTAACAATGATTTCCACAACATGATGGTAGGAAACACAGATATATTTAAACATTTATTTCTGTTATTCTGTTTCAACATTTGAAAGTCAGAGGTATCACATCTCTGATATTTTTGTAAATATCTTTGACAGTTTTGTATGAATAAGTACATTTGTAGCATTTGGTTCAAAATCACACCTGTTATATTTTTGTAAAAATTATCACTTCTAACATTTTTTATGAAATCATTAACTGTCATATCTTCAAATCATGTCTCGTTTGTACTAACCACTTTTGTAACATTTTTGAACAAATCATGATCAACAAATCAACTCTGTCCCATGTTTATACAAACGATCAGTTATGAATATCCTGTGTTGTTTGGCTTTGGAGCGGATGCCATTTATGATCTTCACGAAAGGAGTCATCACATGATCAAAGCTTACTTTTGCACATAGCGCCTGCTGGTGAATGATCCAGTGGTAATGTAGAAATTTTGGGAAGTCTGGGTCACCTTTACATTGCGCAATGAAGCCTGCATGCCGGCCCGTCATGGCGGGAGCCCCGTTTGTTGTCACCGACACCAGTTCTAATGGTACCTTTTTCTCCACGAAGAAACTAGTAAACAGTCTCGTCTATAGCCGAGGGGGGATCCAACCCTCCGAGGCGCGCGAGTATCTTCGGGCGCCCGCGTTCAAACCTCTAGTCTGGGCCTTTTCGGTCGGATTGCGTTGCCTCGCCTTTACCCCCGCCACCCCTGAGTTGTTGCCCCGCGGACTGTTCCGAGGACTGACGGACCTGACGACGGGGTGCGCTCGCGGGGCGTGTCCGGCGCCAACGGGCAGCGCCCACCATTCTGAACCTGAAAACCCAGTGCGGTACGGCAGCCTCTTCCTGGCTGTCCGCCGTGCGCCTCTGGGTCCCAACTCTCTTATGACGAAATATTGTCATTTTAAAATCAACATTCATGCAAGCGTTTTTGATTAAAAATGAACAGCAACTAAAATGTTTAGACGGAGCTCGTGATTAATACTATTTTTAGAACATGCCTTGCGGGCGACTCACGTGGTCCCTGCGGGCGACCAGGTGCCCGTGGGCACCGTGTTGGCTACCTCTGCCTTACAGGCTACACTCTGCGTTCACTAAATCAACAGCACAACACAGTGGAACAAGAAATATCAGTGCGAACAGCAACATTTCTGTGAACACAAAAACGACTTTGATTAAACTATATCACGAACTGTATAGCATCAAACAATGCACCGATTAATCGAAAAGTTGAGTTTGACACCCCTGCTCTATCGGATCACTTCAGCCCAATACAAACTGATGGGGACTTCCTCCGACCGCTTGTTGGAATTGGTGATTTCTTTCTGAACGTTATTGATGTATTTCTTTGTGTTTTCTTGAACACTATTGTTATATGGTGAGTCTTGGTCACTAAAGCTTTATCGAAGAAAAACAAATGTAGGTCGAATTCTACACAGTCTATGGTCGAACGTTGAAATAGTAAGAGCGAAGGTTGGGTGTTGACCCGAGACAGCCTCAAGAGGCGCGAGCGTGAGTCAGCGGAAAACGCGTAATACGCGTCTGCGCGTCACTCACTGTAACGTCTGCACCACCGGTGGGCTGTAAATATTAACCGGTGACTTGAAGAACCATCGAGCCGATCCAGAGGAAACATGCATCTTCTTAAACACTTAGTGCATCGGTGTCCGCCAGTTCCCCATCAGACCACGTCGCTTTCTTCCTCTTTATGGCAGCATGCTCGGTTTAAAACGCGAGGGCTCCCGGTGCGGTCCGGGTCGAAGCGGTTCGGCACGGCGGAGGCTTCTGTGAAGACGGGCGATCCTGTCAGGACGAGAGCGAAAACCCTGACCATGGCGACCTTAAACCCGCAGGTGAAAGCGGTGGAGTACGCCGTGAGAGGACCCATCGTTACGAAGGCGGGAGACATCGAGAGGGGGCTGCAGCAGGTGAGCGGCTAACCGACCGGTGCAGCTTCCGCACCGGGGAGACAGTGTGTTCAATGATGGAGGGAGAGAACGGGAATAACGCGTACGTTATTAAAAGTAGTTACTTTACTAAACGTATGAAGGGAACAGTACGAAGAGGCTTAAATATTTAAACTTCGTGTGTGTGTGTGTGTGTGTGTGCAAGGGCTTAGGTTTGGTCTCAGCATTGGTAGGGACACTGCCCCCCCCGCCATATAAAAAACTTAGTTGATATTATGTTCAACAGGCAAACTTTATGAAAATATATTAACATTTGTGTAACTTGAAACTGATTTAAACACAACTGTAATAACTTGAATACTGTTTAAATACAAAACAGTATTCTGCACCAAATAAATAATAATAATAATAAATAATTAAATAAATGAATAAAAAACGTTCTTCTAAAATGCCAATATACAGTAACAGTATATCTGCAATATATATAAAAAACGTTTCCCAGTTGTGCAGCCAAAAACATTTTAAATAATTAAATAATCTATTCTGCAGCACTTAATAGCCTATAAATAAAGTGCTTTCCTCCTTTATGCAATTATTAGCTACTTTTCTTTTCTTTTGATGTCTTATTTAAATACACCAAAAAGATACCTCCGTCTATCATTCACAGAGATGAACTGTTGGCCTACATCTTCAAACTCAATCTTGTCCAGAGCAGCTTGTGCGCGCATGTGCGTTTAACAGCGCTTCTTTGTATGAGTGAGTGCATTTATCTGTTGATGCCCAAGTTTAATAAAGGCAGGCTATTCATAAAAAACGTACATAAATGTGTCATTAGTATGAACAGTTGAGACATTGGCTCTGTCGGACGCGCGCCGGGCTCAGACAGAAACATTTGGCATGATCCATACTCTACTCTACACTAACACTGTGTGGGTAGTTAGCCTACTACTAGCTAACTAACAACGACCTGGGCTTCTTGATAGCTACTTACCCTCTGGGTGGTGGAAAAACTTCGGCTATATCTCTTTTCTTTTTTGGTGTAATTTTCCCATCTACAAAGCACAAACGGGTCAACAATATCAATGCTGAGACCAAACGAAATACTAATATGAGGCTTTATTATTTCCTGGCGTATTTAGTAGCTTACTGTGTCAGACTACTGCCAGCTCTCTTTCTGCAAGTCACGATTCACTGAGCGTTTCTGACTCTGCCACTTCAGCCAATTAAATGACAGCGTCTTGTCTCGCAGGCTCGAGGGCGCATTGGAAAACTTGGAAATGTATTTTTCACTCTTCTGGGCGACGAACATAGTATAGATAATAATACGAATGAGTTTGCAAATATATTGTGCAAAGTTATTTTTTCTAACAGGCAATTAAAATGAACAAAATATTGGTGGGGACAATTGTGTCTTTCCCAAACTTTGGTCGTGACTAGTCCCTATGGACCATATGCAAACCTACGCCCTTGTGTGTGTGTGTGTACGATCACGCAGCTTCTCTAAATGACAGCGGAGCTAAAGGAGAGAGGCTGTGTTATCCTCTTACGGTATGGCTCGCTGGGTACCAGACTACCGACTTCTGTTACCGGGTCACCAAGTTCAGAAATAAACCCATCCGATTTTAAGATGCACTGTCCTGACAAAGCTCAGGCCATGATTCATGATGACAGTGGTGTTTTTTAACTTTTGTATTCAGCCTCAAATTGCCTGTTGGTGTGTTGTGATGATCTTTTTTGTCTTCTCTCTCCAGGGAGAGAAACAGTCTTTCACTGAAGTCATCAAAGCCAACATTGGTGACGCCCATGCTATGGGCCAGCAGCCAATTACCTTCCTCCGTCAGGTGTGCAGCCAACTAATCTGCAGCAGCTGTTGATGTTATTATGTCAATATGGAGCACAATCTGTGAGGACTGTTTACAGCACCTCATTATGTTCAACCGCTACCAGCAAAGTGTACCTAATAAAGTGTGTGTGTGTGTGTGTGTGCGTGTATGTATATATGTATATGTATATGTATGTATATATATATATATATATATATATATATATATATATATATGTATATATATATGTATATGTATATATATGTATGTATATGTATATATATGTATATATATATGTATATGTATATATATGTATATATATATGTATGTATATATATGTATATATATATGTATATATATATATGTATATATATATATGTATATGTATATATATGTATATATATATATACATATACACACATATATATATATACATATATATATATATACACATATATATATATATATACATATATACACACATATATATATATATATACATATATGTCCTTCCCTGATTCGTCACACTCATATCACGTGACCCTTACCCGGAAGATCACAAACAACAACATTGATTACCGATCGACTACCAGGTTAATTCAACATGGACAACTGATTACAGGCATTGATGACCTTGTTGTCTTTGCTAGCAGCTGTTGTTCAGTTAAAGTCTTTATTATTACGGAGGAAGCAGCTGTTATTGGAGTGATTAGCGAGCGGCGTGACCAGCGGGGTTATCAGACCTACGGAGCGGACGTCTGAAGTCACAGTTAGCGGCTTTGAGGAGGGTGATGGACACCAGTGGCGGGCTGTGGATTTTATACCTGGGCCTTCTGTGCTGTCCTACTACAGTTGAATTACCTCCTAATAACCTCATTATGAAACATCAATCTAGCAAACCTGCAGCGGATCCACGCATTCCACCCCACAAGAGCATGAGCTGTTTACCTGCGAACGTGTTTGTTGAGTTGTAGATCCACTCGAGTCTCTCCAAAAGTTTTCAAATGCTATGGTGTCCTCAGGTTAGCGTAAGGTAGCTCCAAACACCAAGAGCTCAGTTAAAATGAAACACATTCCCAGCCATAAAATGTGCAACGCTTCTCCAACGCTGTCAGCAAGAATACCGTTCATACAAATCCTTTTCCTGGCTGAGTCAGGCTGCCAGCTGTGGTTGACTGACCATTTCTTATGATGTCCAGCTTTTCCTGAAATGTCCTCCTTTCTTGAGAAAGGCGTTGTCAGTAACTCCGTTTCTCCTCCTTATTCAGCCATTGAGTGTTAAAAAAACAAAGCTAGGTAAAAAAATAAATAAACTACACCAAGCAAACCCCTAAAAATGTTATAATTTCTTCCATATCTTTCAATTTGAACTCTTACTCCTCCAACTAAGCTCTGCTGTTAAGTTTCGTTTCACGATAGTCACATGCTCGCCCACTGACCAATCACAGCGCACGCTGCACCTCACTGCAGAGCTGCACCTGCAAACTGAGCTGCCCGTTAATGCTGATGTAGTTGTAGGCCAGCTAGCAGGCTCTGACATGTCAAAGAATACGCCCAACAGGTCAAACTAAAGATCTGATTGGTTGAACACTATGACAATCAACAATATCGTCCCCATTCACTTAAACTGCACATGGATGCACTTGTGAGTCTGCAGGCCTCGAGCCTCTCTTCTTACCTAGAGACACAGAGGTGAAATCTGATTGGATAAAAGCTCTACTTAAAACAAGCTGCACTGGAAGCAGAGCAAGTGATATGTGAGAGAGATATAGACCAAGACCTGCAGCGTTGTAACTAACGTTGAGTCTGAAAAATAAAACTTCTAAAACTTTCCACGAACTGTGTTTGAGTTCATAGAGGAATATTTTAGAGAAGATCTTAAGTATCAAACACGACCTTTCATTATTAAAGACTACTTTATTACTCTGTCGTATATTTTTTAACTAAGCAACTAATCTACTTCCTGTTTACACCGGCACCCACCCGCATGCCCAGTGTACGTAAAGAGTCACGTGATATTCGTTTTCAGGCGTGTTAGTCTGGACGGAGATTCGAAAACGATGCTGAAACGCCGTGTGGACGGAAATTGTTTTTGTTTAAAAACGTAGTATGGATGTAGCCTAAGCCCCACTTTATCTATTTCAACTTTTTATGAAGGATAAGACAGGAGAGATGAGTGTGTTTCTAAAAAGAGATGTTGTTTTATGAGATGACGCTGCTATCATCTGCTCGTCCTTCAGCCCATTTCATTGAGGTACAGAGTCGTGCAGTGGTATGATGACGACACAACAAATGGTACTGGATCCTTGGTCAGTGTGGGGATCATAGTCCAGTGGTCATAAATGATGAACCAACAGTCAGGTCTGCTCCTTTATGTAACTAGGCGTACACTTGGACAACATCAATAGCCAAAAGGTCCATGTTTAAATCTCATGGTGTATAGGGTGGATCAGAGGATTATGTTCTTATTCTACCAGGCTGTATTAGAGAGCATAGTGAGGAGTGGGATTTCAGCATGGCAAGGGCCTCTCTCTGTACAGTTAAATAAGAAAGCCTGCTCTTCTGGTACCGACTGCCATGAGGGAAGAACGGCAGTCTCTCCAGTCCTTATATGAGCTGTCTGTCCTCGGCAAGCTCAGATCCATCCCATCTGAGACTCAGATGGTTGTGCAATATGTTGCTTGTTCTTATCACCGGCTGTGTAATGTGTACAATATGTAGAAGTTGTGGTTGCTTTAGTACATGATGCTTTGTTTGTCTGTTTCTTGTTTTATTACTACTATAGAGGCAGCTATAATGATAAGACAATGCCATGTGTCATATCACATGTGCAGCATTTGAATCCAAGACAAATGACCCTCTGGGTACAATAAAGTATTTGGTATCGTACCTCCATCTTCAACAGGTACTAACTGCTTCTTTTCTACTGGTCCATTATGTGTCCGAGGAGGAGCCTTTTACTTTGCACAGCAGCTGGACACTTGTGATGTCACAAGATCACAAGAAAAAAGCGGGATCACATATCACACCAAAATTCATCTTCTCAGGCTTCAGTTAATGCATTTGTGTCCGGTAACCCGGGGCACGGACCAATCAGGGTCCTGTAAGGACCTACTGGCTGCTAGGGGCGTGGTTAGGGTGTCTGTGAGAGGGGCGACTGTGGCTCAGAAGGTAGAGCGGGTCGGCCCTCAATCAGATCAGCGATTTGATCCCCGGCTCCTCTAGTCCAATGTGTCCTTGAGCAAGACACTTAACCCCAAATTGCTCCCGTAGGCTGTGCCTGCGGTGCGTGAATGTGTATGAATGCATGGTAGCCCCTGTCATCAGTGTATGAATGCATGGTAACCCCTGTCATCAGTGTATGAATGCATGGTAACCGCTGTCATCAGTGTATGAATGCATGGTAACCGCTGTCATCAGTGTATGAATGCATGGTAACCGCTGTCATCAGTGTATGAATGCATGGTAGCCCCTGTCTTCAGTGTGTGAATGGGTGAATGATGAAATGTAGTGTCATAGCTCTTTGAGTGGTCAGAAGACTAGACAGGTGGATGGGTAGTGATGCAACTGAATGTTTTCTCCTACTCTTTAGCCACAACATTTGCATTTCCTAAAGACATACTCTGGTGGTCTGTGTTTTGGCCATATTTACTGTTTCCATGTTGTCTGTTTACTTGGAGTTTTATGTCAAACCACGATTTATTTCCATATAATATTGATACATATTCCCATATAATAAATGGAGGTTGTAGAGGTTCAGAGGGCTGGAACAGTATCATTAGATCCATCTGAATAGGGGAATAGAATGGTATCAGGCTCATTGCTGTGTCGCCATCTGGTGGTCGTATCAAAGTACTAAGAGCCAGAGCTTCTAAACATAGCTAGCTGCCGGCTCAACATTAGCATACCAAAACCACCGCCACAAAGTAAACCAATGTTAGCTGTGTTCTCCTCTGTCTGTCCCTCTTGAAGCCTCTGTTCATGTGTACATGACAGCAGCAGACACCATGGACTCAGTGGGCACCTGTCAGCGGCAGCAGCGGGTGGTGTGGACGGGGAGCCTCAGTAGTTGCTCTGCTGTTGACCCATGTACTCCGCTTTCCCATCCGCCGTTTATCCCCCAAAACAGAGGCGGCTGCCCGCTGTACATCCTCAGCAACATTTCTGTAGTGTCTTTAAGCTTTTCTTGTCGTGCTCCATGTTGTAGGATTTCTTCTTTTGAACATTTCTCTCATTGTGCCTTGTATCATGTTCTTTTAAGGGTGGGATTAACAATGTGTCCTGTCGCTGCAATGTTTTTTTACCGTATCAAAAGGCGTCACACATGTCTAGTTGCGAAATAAAAACTACTGGAACCATCGTAAGCCAAAATAATTTACTTTAAAAAACAAATCGGACTTTTTCAACCCAAAGTGTTGACTGTCTGACCGTCCACCGCTGGAGACGAAGCAGCCCTTGTTTCTGACTCAGTGGTGACGTGCTTATACACACTGAGGTTTGAGGCAGGTGTCAGCAAGACATCTTCAAGTGTCTTGAAGGTCTTCATCAGATTCTCTTTATACCACAAAAGCTGTATTAGTGTTAAAATGACAACATTTCATCTGCTGCATAACAGGCCTCTCCATCTCAAAGTCCCAGGCTGCATTTCAGTCCCAGGCCGTCCCTGACTGGACCTGCTGACCTGCTAACCTGCTGACAGTTTTTGACAAGATTTCAGTTGCTACTTCACCACTGTAACTTCTTCTGGCATATTTTTAATTTCCCTGCTCATTATAGAATATTTAAAGTTTTTGTGATGTTTCTGAATGTATACATATTTAAGGCATGACAGGAGTTTGCAAACCTATTTTTCAATCTCTACTCATTTCTTTCACAGTACTCACCGGCACTTCCACACATGCACACGCATCACTTTCCCTGAAGCTGGTAGTGGGACAGCTAGCAGCTAGCTGTCCCACTACCAGTGGTTTCTTATTTCACTGCATTAGGTTCTCTTTCAGACTATGTTGAGGGCTGGAATGTATATGCATTTATTTTTGTGTCTATTTACAAGGAAGATATTGTCTGTTTAGATATTTTTGACTACCTTGCATATGGACCCATATGTGCTGCTTTAGCCCTGACACCAGATTGGTATTTACTTCCAGTGTTAATAGTTCTCTGTCTCCCAACCTCTGTTCTCCAGGTCAAGTGCAGAGTAAGAAGTGTATAGAGGAGGTGCTCCACTTCGCCTATGTGGAGAATCTGTTAGTCATGGCTGATGAGGTAACTTCCAATGCCTGCAAATACCGTTTTACATCCAGAGTTATTTTTCCTTCATTTTCACGTTAAACCATTCAGACTTTGCACGTTCAGGGGCAGATTTCTGTTTTCTTTCTTTTTTCTTCTCAAAGTCAAATCAGCAGAGAAAGAGAGATGTCGTCAATCAAAATCAAATCAAAAGAACTTTTATTTATTCATTAGTAACTTCGTCATCAAAATGAAAACGGAGTAGACGACATGCAGCTTGAATTAGTTTAAGATGTCCACCAGTGGGATTAAGTGTGCTTAAAAATGTCCATAATTAAATGATAAATAGGATCAAGCACCAAGGTCTCTTGCGCAACAATGAGTCTGATGGAAGCAGGTGTAGAGCTGGAGGAGGAGGGACCTGCATCTGTGGCCTGATCTGTTGTGTTGAAGGTGATATATGAAGGCAAATCACTGTCAAAATCCGAGAGCGCAAATGAGAGCTGCGCGTGTGTGTAGAGGTGCTCACCAAAGGAAAATATGCGCGCAGCTGTTTAATTTGCATGCGCGGGGGTTCTGCACGCAGGCACACACGCACGCACGCATCTCATTTGCGCTCAAGGGTTTTGACAGGGATTTGCCTACATAGTGATAGAGGATTCAATGAAGCGCCTGCAGGGAGCTAGCACATTCACCTCCAGTGAAGGGATGGTGAACCGGCCATGGCGGATAGCAGTGACCAGCTCCCTGGTCTTGGAGGCGTTGAGCTGAAAGCAGTTCCTCCTACACCACTCTGAGAATGGGTCCATCCAGCTTGGAGCAGCTCCTCAGAGTTGGTGTTGTCGATGATGTCTGTGTCAACAGCGTATTTGATGGATGTTACTTCTTACTTCTTTATTATTATTAATCGAATAACAGATGCTGTAGACCAACATCTCCGAAAAGAACAGGCAGGTTTCAGAAAGGGTAGAAGTTGCAACGATCATATATTCACGTTACGTAACATCATAGAGCAGTGCACAGAGTGGCAGAGGGAACTGTATATAAACTTTGTTGACTTTGAAAAAGCATTTGACTCCATTCATCGTGAAAGCCTTTGGCGTATATTGCGGCATTATGGGATCCCTGAAGATATAGTTCATGTGATCCAAAGTTTTTATACCAACTTCACATGTAGGGTTGGAAACAGTCTCCAAACATTCCAAGTAAAAACAGGTGTGAGACAAGGATGTGTGATGTCAGCTTTGCTCTTCAATATTACTATTGACTGGGTAATGAGACAAACAACTGAAGACCAAAATGGAGGCATTCGATGGACACTATTTTCATCACTTGAAGATCTAGACTATGCAGATGATCTCTCTCTTCTTTCACATACTCATCGGCACATGCAGGAGAAAACATCCCGCCTCAGTGATTTTGGTCAGAAGATTGGCCTGAAGATCAGCAAAAAGAAAACAGAAGTGATGACTCTGAACATTCCCAATCCCTCACCAATTCAGGTTAACGGAGAAGATCTCCCTAAAACTGACGAGTTCACATATTTGGGCAGCACTGTCAGACACGATGGGGGCACAGATAAAGACATCAAGAATCGTCTTAATAAGGCAAGGAACGCTTTCAAAGTACTGAATAACACATGGAGGTCACAGCAGGACACCATCAAGACCAAACTCAAATTGTATCAGAGCTGTGTTTTATCCACCCTATTGTACGGTTCTGAATGCTGGACAATGACACAAGAAGACCTCAACAGACTATCAACCTTCCACACCAGAGTTTAAGACGAATACTGCACATTTTCTGGCCAAACACCATTTCAAATAAAGAACTGTATGACAAATGCCAACAAGAATGCATGGAGACCATCCTAATGAGAAGAAGATGGGGATGGATAGGACATGTGTTGAGAAAAGATCTTGCTGATATTACAAGAACAGCCTTACATTGGACACCAGAAGGGAAAAGCAAAAGAGGCCGACCAAGAAACACATGGAGAAGAACTGTGGAGAAGGAGATGCAGAGCCTAAACCACTCAAGGGGCACCATCCAGCGACTCGCCCAGGACAGACAGGAGTGGCAAGAGGCATAAAGGGAAATGATGATGACTTCTTACTTCTTACACCTGACCTACTGCATTATGAAAGTCATTGAAGATGGTTGGTGAAGGTCAGTAGTGTAAATATAAATCCGGTTCACAGCTGTTTCTAAGGTTCCTGTGTTTGAAGATAAATGGGTGCTGGTTCAGGGCAGAAGGTGGCTAGTTTGGTCTCTAATAATTAGGATTTTATCATTGAAGAAGCTCATAAAGTCACCACTACTGAGGTCTATGGAACACACGGCTCACAGAGCTGTGACTCTGTCAGCCTGGCTACAACCTGGGGTTGTTTTTATTTCCCTCTATTAATGATGAGTAATAGGCAGCTCTGGCGTTACGGAGGGCCTTCCTATAAGTTCTAAGACTCGGGTTTGTGGGTTATACCATGAAGCTAACCTCCTTTGTTTTATTGTCTTCTTGTTTAGAGGGGCACTAGATCAGAATAGAAGCATCTCCCCCAGAGTGCGTTCAACCTGCTCTCGTGCCTGTTTACATTCCACCCTCATGCACTATGTAGACTGTAGTGTGGTCATCGCAACATATCAAATTCTGAGGTGTTGGGAATAAATTAAATACTTTAAGAGAAAACCTGATAATGTTGAGAGTACAGTTGTTAATATTGAGAAAAACGTTATATATCCAGATTGGAAGCAGAGATGTAGTTAATTGTATTCTCATTAGCATATTCTGTCTATAACATGTCATTACAGGTGAACACCGGTGTAATTAAAGACGTTAATTACGGCCTTGTTCCATTTTGGTGCACCAGGGCCCAGGTATTGTGCCGGCTGGCTCACTGGAATGACTGTGACTCACTAAAGTAATTTGATCGATTACATCTGTGTTTACCGTACTATGACATGTCAGAATGGCTGCAGTGGAAAGGGCCTACTCCCTATGTGTCGGTGACAGGTTTGTTTCTTGTGGCACCATAGTTGTCATTCTGGCTGTGTTTTTACAGGTTTACCAGGACAACGTGTACTCGCCAGACTGTCAGTTCCACTCCTTTAAGAAGGTCCTCTATGAGATGGGCCCTGAGTACTTTAACAATGTGGAACTGGCCTCCTTCCACTCTACCTCCAAGGGCTACACTGGAGAGTGAGTGTCCATTGCACTGAACACACACTGAGCTCTTATCTCATTACTGGGTGCTTGCACAGGAAGAGCATGTGCATTTAAATGTGTTAAATGTGCTTTTACTATTTGCTTCTTTACAGTAAGTTCTTAAAATATTGTATGAGGTCTTCATTTATATCAACTGAACAGAGAATTATATATTAACAGTTTATAGATATTTCTTGGTAATGCTGAGCAGCAAGAGGGGATCTGATGTGGTAATATAGCCGACGCAGCTCCATCATCATCCAAAAAGACTCCATGTTCTCAAATGCAGAGTAACTAAATAAAAACATCTTCATTGTCCTTGTTGTGTGAGATGCTCAGATTGACACCACTCTATGGAGATATGAAGTTACAACCAGCAGCCAGTTAGCTTAGCACGGAGTCGTGCGCAATGACTTCCATGAGTCTTGTCATTACCATGAGGTTGCCAGGCAATCAGTGGACAGTCCAGTCCAGCAGGTAGCTGTACCTCAGGGTGAAGGGTTTGGTTCATAGGGCGTACCAAACTGAAGGACCTAATTGCTTCTGAATTAATACATGTGTCTTTACACCCCTGGTGTGGAGTGCCTTTTTCTGGACTTTTCATACTATCTGCGCTCTACCTTTTTTCTTTCTCCACACGCTCCCACTCAGGTGTGGTTTCCGTGGGGGATATATGGAGGTGTTGAACATGGATCCACAGGTGGAGGCCCAGCTGGTCAAACTACTTTCTCTTCGCCTGTGCCCCCCCGTCCCTGGACAGGCAGCAATGGACGTCATTGTTAATCCCCCCCAAAGTGCACGAGCCCTCGTATGCTCAGTTTATTAAGGTGTGTGTGTGTTTGGTTTTCCTAAATCCATTAAGTGTGACGTTGCCTTCACAGCATTGCCATTTCTGAGTAACTAGCACTGCGACTCACTTTTGCACCATTGTAGAAGAGATGAGGGATGTCACGGCTGGCATCAAATATAAAGTATAATATTAAAATGGTAAAGAACAGAATTCTGTTATTCAAGATTAAGTTTATTTTTCAGTCTGTATAGTTTTACTTGCTCGGGCCTAAAAAGATTTGAGTCCAACTGAAATTGGATTGCATGTTTTGCTCCGTGCATTACTCCCTGACTACTTTGAGTTCTCTGTGTACGTAAATGAAGAACTCGTTCCAGGCTGAGACCAGTACAAGTATCATAAATGAGGCTTGTGTTATTCCATTCCAATGGCAAAACACCAGGTCTTTGTTTTTTCATCAAGTACCGTAGCCATGGGAAATGCAATTTACTTATCTCTGACATTAGCAACTGTTTGGGGAACAGAAACACGTGGGTATTGGCGTATCCTTTCCAATCATTTTGCCTTAAGTGTGGTCAGGTCTCCCTCTGACGGGGACTAAATAAGTTTGGTCTCTTAAATCCATTTCTTTACCTTGTGTATTATGTGTTCTGTTGGTGTCCAGGAGAAGAGCTCAGTCCTCAATGTCCTGGCTCACAAGGCCATGCTTACGGAGCGAATCCTAAACTCAGTGCCTGGGATCAAATGCAACCCAGTCCAAGGAGCCATGTATGCCTTCCCTCAGATCTTCATTCCACCACGAGCAATTCAGGAAGCCCAGGTCTGTTGCTTCATGCATTCTCTAATGAGGGATTGTCCTATACAGACAGGTGGTAAGGTCACACGCTTATGAGCAGAAATACAATGTACCAGAAATGTAAGAATGTGCCAGAAAAATAGAAAACTATCCACACCACTGTATGTCAGCTGGATAGAATAGAATATTCAGTTTTATTAATTCAGGTATGTGTTGAAAAGACCCTGTGTGGCCTGTTTACACAGGTGAGAGATGACATGTTGTCCATGTCTTTGCCAGCTTGTGTCAAAAATCCAATCTCTTTATGTCATACAAACACTTAATAAATGCTGAGAGTCTATCCCAGCATGCACTGAATGTCCCTGAATACGTCTCCAGTCTGTGGACAGATGGAAAGCAGCTGAATAGAACCAAGGCAACATTCAGGGAGGGAAGTGACGGTGGATGGCTTTCTGTTTCTTTTCTTTGCAGTCCCTGTCTGTGGCTCCTGACATGCTGTACTGTCTCAAACTGCTGGAGGAAACTGGCATCTGTGTGGTTCCAGGAAGTGGATTTGGCCAGAGGGAGGGAACCTTTCACTTCAGGTTAGACGTGAACACTTTTGAATTTTATTCATCAACATAATGTTAACTTGATATTTTTAAAAATATTGAGATTTGAGATGATAATATTTAGAGTCAAACAACCAATTTGTCTTGAAACCTGGCTGTGATCTGATAAATGAGTTATCATTTCTTTCATTCATTAGACTTTTCTATCAGTGGGTTTCTTTTTTATTCTGCTTCAGGTACCTTCTGCTTAGCTGGATGTGAAGTGTGATGCTCAGTCCCACATTCAATATGCAGGTTGTCATGAATTGTTTTTAGCACTATCAGGCTACCAGAGGAATAAACCCATTTCATTTGAATGGCCTTTACTCTCGCGCTACCCTGGGGATACAATGACTCAGCATTTTAATTGGGTGGTGCCATAAGCCTGGTGACGTAATGAGTACTTGCAAGGTTAGGTTACATTGAACGGTGTCTGGTCTGCTAAGCTAGCAGGGTCACAACCATTTCCCCTTCTGAATAATGAATGCTTTGGTAGTTGGGCTTTTTGTTCTTTAGGTAGGTATTTGGTTTTCACTGTTGCTAGCACCGCGCCAACGCGGATTTGACTGGTCAGGGCTCCAAAAACTGTCAACGAGCAGAAAAGCAGGGCTGAAATGGTGTAGTGTCCACTATGCATTAGTTAGGAGAGCAAAGTCTTAAATCAAACCATGGCAGATTTAGACACACTGTGTATTTGTTCTTACAGTGTGTATGTGTTTCTGTTTCTTAGAATGACCATCCTGCCGAGCCCAGAAAAGCTAGAACTCCTCTTAGGGCAGCTGAAGGAATTCCACCTCAGATTCCTTGAAGAGTATTCACAACAGGAATCAGATCCCCAGAACCACCCAAGACCACCACAGGGAACCATCAGACCAACCAGACAGACACTTCTATTGATAGCTTGTTTCATATTGCTAAAATTGTTATTGTTAAAATTGAGTTTACTTGTTTTTTAGAACTTGTGTTACAGAAATATTGTGCCTTCTGCTCAGATTGTTTTGAACCCGGTTAGAAAAGTGGCCCTCTCCTCAAAGCCCCGACTAAAGGAAGACACAGTATAGTGACTTAGGAAGCACACTTATGACCTTATTCTCCTCTAAGTGTCCGTCCGTCGTGCTCTCATCGATCTGTGCTCTGTGGCATCCAGTGAACTTCCACATTCAAACATCTGCTCCTGTCCATCAACACATATCCATTTGATGGCTGCTGAAGACTTCAAACATCAGGTTGCTCCACACCTATTCGGTGTATGAGGAGTTGTATGCCTCTGTAAATGCCTCTGTAGAAGTGCAGCTACAATGGTTTTCAAATGTTTTCTTTGATTTGATATTGCCTTATATAACATTAAATGGTCACTATATATATTATATAGTGTGTCGCTGGTATCTACCCATGTAGATAGTTTTGTTCTAACTGCTTTTCAGCTATCTGTCTCCCCTATACAATGAATCTGAATGGAATTTAGTTTATGGTGATTACGTAAATGACTCAACAGCAAAACAAGTCCTCCAACCTATCAGTGCTGAACCAACAGGCAAAGGACTCAAAAGCAGACTGAGGAGGCAGGTCAGTGGTTAGTAAAATACACTTCACTCAAACAAGGTTCTGTACATGTGATCAGTCTGGATAGGCAAAAGTACAAAATCACTAGGCTGAGGAATACTCCAAAAACAGGTCAAACACTACAGATTAACACTGGGACAGAGAACATAAATACTGGAACGCTAACCAGGAGGAGTAAAGACAAAGGAGCAGGTAAAGAGACACAACAGGTATGTGCCAGAATAGAACTGGACATGAGACAAATACTGAAAAAAAAATAAGGAAACATAACTTATAAAGGGGACCGGGATGTGACAGTACCCCAGGCGGGCAGGATGACGTCTGTGGAAGTCACGGATGAGGTTGGGGTCCACGGTGTTCCTGGACGACACCCAAGACCTCTCTTCAGGACCGTAACCCTCCCAGTTCACCAGGTGCTGCTGTCCACAGCCACGGCGTCGAACCGCCAGGAGGCGCTTGACCAAATACACTGGACCACCATTGATGAGATTGGTGGGGGTCCACAAATCTGGGAGTCAGCTTGCAGGACTCAACTTTGATATATATATATCTATAGATATATATAGATATATATATCAGTGGTGGGCGGTCAGGGCCTGCAAGGCCTTCTCTGCTGGCCTAAACAGAATCACAAAGTTATAGCTATTTTATAATTTAATAATTGTTCTTAAATACACTACATGTATTATAATTTATAATAATATTTTTCCCCATTATCTTATTTTCTCATTGCACAGCTCCTGTCTTCCTCAGTTGCTCTGCTTCCAGTGCAGCTTGTTTTAAGTAGAGCTTTTATCCAATCAGATTTCACCTCTGTGTCTCTAGGTAAGAAGAGAGGCCCGAGGCCTGCAGATCCACACGTGCATCCATGTGCAGTATTAAGTGAATGGGGACGATATTGTTGATTGTCATAGTCTGTCATAGTAGAAGAGGATCGACATCACCAAGGCAGCAGGACTGGACAAAGTGTCGGGCCGCACACTGAAGACCTGTGCCGACCAGCTAGCAGAGGTTTTCACTAACATCTTCAACCTCTCCCTGCAACAAGCTGCAGTCCCCACCTGCCTCAAAGCCACCACCATTGTCCCTGTCCCAAAAAAGACTGCAGTCACCTGCCTCAACGACTACCGCCCAGTTGCCCTGACCCCAGTCATCACGAAGTGCTTCGAGAGGATGATACTATCGCACATCAAGGACGTCCTCCCAGCAGACCTGGACAGCCACCAGTTTGCGTACCGAGCAAACAGGTCTACGGAGGACGCGGTCTCCATCACTCTTCATACGGCCGTGTCTCACCTGGAGCACCCTAACACATACGTCAGGATGCTCTTCATTGACTTCAGCTCTGCCTTCAACACCATCATCCCCCATAAACTGGTGCATAAACTCAAAAACCTTGGACTTTCTACATCACTCTGTTCATGGATTCTGGACTTTCTCTCAAACAGACCACAGAATGTCAGGATAGGGAACCTAACATCAACAACCACCATCCTGAACACTGGTGCACCGCAGGGCTGTGTGCTCAGCCTGGCCCTCTTCACCCTCTTCACCCTCGACTGCTCCGCCACATATTCCTCCAACACAATAGTGAAGTTTGCTGACGACACCACTGTGGTGGGACTCATGTCCAACAACAACGAGACACACTACAGACAGGAGGTCCAACATCTGGTGGTGCTTGGACAACAACCTGGTCCTGAACACCACCAAGACCAAAGAAGTCATAGTGGACTTCAGGAGATCCAGGAAGACCACACCCTCTCCACTCTACATAAGTGGGGAGGAGGTGGAGAGGGTGGACAGCATCAAATTCCTGGGGCTCCACATCACTAAAGACCTCACTTGGTCCCCGAACACATCCCACCTGGTGAAGAAAGCCCAGCAGAGGCTCTTCTTTCTGAGGAAGCTCAAACAAGCTGGCCTGCCCCCTGCACTTCTGGTTAACTTCTACAGAAGCGTGATCGAAAGCATCCTGTGTATGTGCCTTACTGTGTGGTATGCCAGCTACACAGCAGAGAACAGGAGGGACCTGGCCCGTGTGGTTAGAACAGCACAGAGGATTGTGGAAGTTACCCTGCCTGACCTGGACACTGTGTATGCTGGCCGCCTCCAGAAGAAGGCCAGAAACATCTGCACAGACACCACACACCCGGGTCACTCTCTGTTTGTTCCACTACCATCAGGAAGGAGATACAGGACCATCAAAACCCGGACTAACAGGCTGAGGAACAGCTTCTTCCCCAGAGCGGTTTCCTCCATCACCCCCCCACCGCCACCCACCACCCCACCCAGCTCACACCGGACAGTGCTGAAACAAACATAGTCAATAACATGACACTGTAACCAAGCACATTTTTCACTTTGAAGCCATTGATGCCTGTGCTTTATCTTGTTTTAGCTTGTATATATTTATTTAATGTCTTGTTTTTTTAAATCGTCTTGTCTTAATGTTTTTATACACTTTTTAACTGTTGCTGCTGTACTGATGAGTCGCCAACTCAATTTCATTGTATGTTCGTACGATGACAATAAACATCCTACAATAAACATTTACTACGCACATAGTTACAGCCTTAGAAACTAATAACTGTGGCGCTATCATGTGGTTATAAGGAGGTATTTCAGCTGCAGGACAACAGTGAAGGCCTAGGTATAAAATGCACAGACCGCCACTGATATATATAGATGCCCTCACCACTTTTAAGAGTTGGCTCAAGGGAACAGTGTGTAACATGAATTGGCAGAGATAGAATATAATATTCATAACTATGTTTTCATTAGTGTATAATGACCTGAAACTTTGAATCGTGTTTTTGTTAGCCTAGTGTGGGGACTGCTGATCTTGCTGCCTCTTAGTTTTGTCTTGTGTGTTTGCTTTATGTTAATAAATCCCATGGATTTGTTGTTGATTTGGGGCGTAACATCCTTGTTAAAGGTTTTTTTTATTCGGGGCAGGACTTTTTCCTTTTCTGATGTGAGGGTCCAAGGACAGATGATGTTGAATGCTGCACTGATTTTAAAGCCCTCTGATGCAAATCTCTGATTTGTCATGTTGGGCTACACAAACACACTTAATTGAATTCGATGTTTCCCTTCTCTTATATCCATTTTTGTTTTCAATTTCAGCTTTACAAGTTCATCTTTTAGTTTGAGCATTTTCATTTAAGCTTTTGCATTTAAGAATGATCTGTTTTTCATTGTCACTTTCAAATGATCATTTAATTATAGCCTGATTATTCCTAGCAATGTAATAAGATAATATACATGTTTTAACTTGTTCTCTTTAAATTTTCTATTTGGATATCTAATTTCAAACATTACATTACAGTCATTTAGCAGATGCTTTTATCCAAAGCGACTTACAATTCAGAGTCAATCACATTTCTACACCGTAGGCTCAACTCCGGGAGCAATTTTGGGGTTAAGTGTCTTGCTCAAGGACACATCGACATGCGACTAGCAGAGCCAGGGATTGAACCGCCGACCCTTTGATTGAAAGACGGCCCTGCTATCCACTTAGCCACAGTCGCCCACATTTCAGTGGGCGACTGTGGGCACATTTCAGTAGCCAAACATGACCAAAGCTTTCCCGTATTTGGTGGAATAGGATATAAGTAATTGGGTGAACTGATGGAACGTCACACACTCCTGCACAGTAGTGGGCGGTATGAACCTTCAAGCTGTTCGCGATCCACCATTTAAACCGAGAGAAGTAGAAATAGAAGTAGAAGAAGAAGACGAGGACGGATGTGGAATGACAAACATGGCGGCGTCCAATGTCGATACATTTAGGGCAAATCGATTACAGTCACAGAAACCTTCCCAATGTCTCCACTGACACGGACCTGGTGTTGTGAGCTGAAGCCACAGCTGTGTTACGATGTGGACGACCGGCAGGACCGCAGGAGCTTCTCTCCGAGTCCTCCGCCCCCTGCAGCGCTGCTGTCCGCAGGCGGCGCCCTGCAGGCTGGGGTCGTCATCCAGACCCCCGTGGAGGCTCCTGTTCTTCGGCTCCGATCAGTTTGCCGCTGAATCTCTAAAACTCCTCACATCCAGCAGGTGCGTACTCTCCACGAGAAGTTTACTACACACCGCCAGTGATGCCGATGTGATACAACAATCACGTTGCATGTATATTATGTATGAATGTATTGTATATTTAAACATAGTTAGACGTAAGACAAAGCGACACATTGAGCTGCATCATCATTCGACAACGAACATTGTTGATAAAAAAGAAGAGGTCACTGTAGCTTCCATACCATCAGTTCACTACACTACTTTCTTTGTTTAGTTACTTTGACAGTAATTGTTGAAAGTGTTTAAAGTATAGCTGATAAAGTAATGATTTTAAAAGTAAAAAGTTGATCTGGTACTGGTCTTGGGATGCAGATGTTCAACAGGTGTGTCTGCAATGACCACTGCTGAACAGTTTCTTTCAACCTGATCTAATAGGTCTAAAATAAACTCTGTAGACATCTGCAGGTTCTACTGGGGCTGGAGAGGCAGTCACAGCGGGAGAGCAAGCTCTACGTCCAGGGTGTTTTCTAGTGCTGTGGAAACATTCTCCTCAAAGTCTACATATTAAAAGACTACATTTAAACCCATCATGATAGCATTAGAATTAACCTTAGGCCTAATACTCATTTGAGCCTCATCCTCATGCTGTCATGTTTTACCCTAGAAGAATGGAGTTGATATTTGTGGAATGTAATGTCATTTCTGTCAGTACCTGTACCAGAGGAGCGCTATAGAAATCTAACGGCACCATGAATTGCATGTTTACTCAACATTAAGTAGTTTGGTTGACTGCGGTGAAACTGTAGTTCTTGAAACGCTAAACCCCAAATAATATGGATTGAATCTTTTACAATCCATTTTTTTTTTTTCGGGAATGAGTTAATCGATCTCTTTTCAATAAGTGTTGACATTTGGACAAAGGACTGGGAGAGAAGGTGGATGCTGGAGGACCATAGACTAAAGGGGTTAGAATGCTCCAGTCTTCATTTCAAGTCTAGTTCAGTCCGGTCCCAGAAGGCTGGAATATAACTTGTTGGGCATCTTATTGGGCTTCATCATCTTGGAATAAGGGAAGTGAGTGCATGATAGCTGACCTCCATGTTCTGTTTTCTAGGAGCTCCGTTGAAGGGATAGTGGAGTCCCTTGAAGTTGTCACTTTGTCTGGGGACGTCCCAGTGAAGACGTTTGCTCAACAGAACCAACTAGCAGTCCACAGCTGGCCCCCCCACAATGTGGATGGACGCTTTGACGTTGGGGTGGTGGTCTCTTTTGGCTGTTTACTCCATGAGAGACTGATCAACAAGTTTCCATAGTGAGCATTTCTTCAGTCATGTTGTCCCCTAAATGTGATGACACCTGAATCTCATAGCTGCCGCTGGAGGACCAAGCTTTAAACTAAGAAGTGCAGCAATGTTTCCATCTTGGTTTCTCTCTCACTCCCCAAAGTAACGGAGAGGTCTGTGTGTGGATACATCTCTGAGAACAGGTCAGACAGCTGGCTGAACACCACGGGATTTCATCTCATTTAGGAGCATTATTATTTAAATCATTCTATTATTTACAGATTTATCTAAACACTTTAACAATTATTTTTCTTTTCCAAAAAAAACGTCACTACTTATTGTACAAAAAGGAGCTTGTTACTGATGATAACAGCATCGACCCTGAGCTCCTGATCCAACAGTTAAGGCTCGTGAGTCCATCACACAATGAGTAGGTATTGGGTACTAGATATTACATTTATCTCTCACCGATCGGGCCAATAAACCGATGACGCTGAGCGGGGTGTGATGGAGTCACAGTGGATAGAAGATGAACATTCATAACAGTCTTCTTGTTCTTATCTCGTTACTTCTATTTGGCTCTCAGTGGGATGAACATTGATCCATCGGTGCTCATCATCGAGCACTGACTAGCAGTTCAGCTCCAGCATTCTTCCTCAATGACCGTAGGATGATTGGTTCTCATCTGCAATATTATGTGAAAAGTCTACTTTCTACGTGTAGATCTAACATTAGTATATGTCCTCGTCACCTACTTTATTTCCCATTCAGTGAGATTGATAACACTTCAACAGTGCTTACGCTTCAGGACGCGGCTGCTTCACTGTGGTGAGTAATGCTAGCTAGTAGTCCCGCCCTTCAGAGCGATGGGCCAATCCGCCGCTTGTTTTCCTAGACGCTGTACATCGGCTGAGAGAGGGAGGAAGACGGCCGAGAGGACCATGTTAGTCAATGTCAGCGATCACCACGTCTGACACCGGTCACATAGAGAGCTGCTCTGCACCCTTGTTGAAGATAAACCTAAGCTGTATAAATATATAGATTTAATAGCATTATTATCCAAAGGCATCTCAAAACTGGAGAGTTGACCTCAATAGAGTGCAGATCTCTTTTGCATCGTGTGATGGATGAATACGACCAGAGCTGTGAAGCGGTCAAACAGACGGAGTAACAATATTCAATGTATATGCATTAACAACAGGGTGAGCTGTATAATAACTGTGTGCGTCTGTGTGTCTGTGTACACACTCTTTCATTGCAGTGGGATTTTGAATGTTCACCCCAGCCTGCTGCCGAGGTGGAGAGGTCCAGCACCCATCTTCCACACCATCCTGCACGGTGACGGCGTGACAGGGGTCACCATCATCCAGATCCGCCCTCACAGGTAAAGAAAGGAACCCCTGTGTCCCTCCGGCTTTTTGGCCTTACTACAAACAAAGTGATCAGATTAATAGTAGCCCTTTTCACACGGCATGTTTAGGGCAGGACCGTAATTCTGACTCGTTCCTTGTGAACAAATAGGATGACTGTGTAGTCACAGAGCTGAGCAGGGTTGTGTTGCACTCACCCAAATCACTCGCTGGGAAGCCATTGTGCCACAGCTCTTGGGTTTGGTGTGAAAAGGCAAACCGCTTAACGGCAGATCTTTTTCCGTGACAGTATTGTGTAGTCTCAGTGTTAAAGGCGCTAATGTCTTCACCCCCCAGGTTTGATGTGGGCCCCATTCTGAACCAAGAGCTCCATCAGGTCCCTGAGAACTGTACTGCTGATGAGCTGGGAGTGGCCCTCGCCACTAAGGGAGCCCATCTGGTGAGTTGTTGGAACACGCCTGGTTAACTAATCCTATGACTGACAGGATACTAACGTAGTTTCTTTGATTGTTTCATTTGTCTTCTTGTTTGCAGCTCATTGATACGCTCATGACACTGTCTGAGAGATTGGCACATAAAAGGGAGCAAAGACAGATGGGTGCGACATTTGGTAAGTAAGTCTGAAGTACACAGATACAGTCAGGCTTATCATGAAAGAAGAGTTCTTCTATCTTACACCTTCATTTCATTCAATAGCCCCCAAAATCACCACATCCATGAGCTGGGTGGTGTGGGAGGAACAGAGCTGTGAGCAGATTGATCGTCTGTATCGTGCCATCGGATCCCGGGTAAGGACTGCTCAGGTTGAGCCATGGAGACCCTGTTGGATATCACTGTGATGATCCTCCTCTCTGACAACAGATACCATTGAGGACCACATGGATGGGCAGGACAATAAAACTTCTGGACTTCGTAGGAAAATGTCACATTTCACTGTTAGGTAAGTTTGATTTATTGTACCATGAATGTCTCTACAGTAAACATACACCAAATATCTAGTTCATGTGTCTGTGAATGTAAAAGTCATTCTGCTTTCAGAATGTGTAATAAGCCTCAATCGTGTCTCTGTACATCTTCAATATGCTCGACTTCGGACCACTGCCTGCATGCGTGTTCCTGTTAATCAAACCACATTGTAGTGAGTCAGCACTTTTGCACTTTGCTTTAGCTGGCTTGACAAAGTCTGACTCTGGGTTCCTTCTTCAGGCTCTGTGTTCCCATATAAGAGGGCGTTAACATCAATTAATGCGTCATTTGACTCTTCTACTGCACAAAAAGGGCCAAATTGTATCTCATTTCATGAGCAAGTAAGCGTCGTTGTGATTAACAGCAGTGAACTAATAGTGTACGATAGTAGTGAGCTTCTTCTGGAGCCAGTATGGGCAGATGGCCAGAGAACACTAAGAACATATTTAGTGAAAGCAAGAACAACTTTGCAAATAAGTATATATACATAAATAAATCTAATATGGTGATGCACATAGTTCACTCTGTTTTGTTTTCTAATGGAACATACAGCTCAAGTTTGCATACAACGTATTCCCTCAGCTGAGAATCTGTTCTGCTGCTCATACAGAATATCGACATTAAAACCAACCCCCCCCCCCCCCCCACTGAAGAGAGCCTCTTACCGCTCCGTCACCGAGATCCACCGGATTTAGCAAGAATGGGGCCGCTGTCTCCAGAGGAGTTGACTAGTGTACGGAGCCTTTTCTAGCTGATTTCAATCCCAAACTTCACACCACGTTGGATGTGCAGCATAAGGTTCCACTACGACCTATTCAATAACATTCAATCCAATTTTATTTGTACAGCCCAATATTAGAGATTTTCCCCTGATGGCTTTACAATCTGTTCAACATACAACACCGTCTGTCTTTGGACGCCAAAACACCTTTAACAGGAGGAAAGGAAGAAACTGAGGAGAGATCCCTCCCCCGGGACTGGCTCAGGTGCAAGATGGTGTTAGAGGTCATCTGAACAAAAAGAACATGACAACATAGCCGATCCATATGAGAGTCCGGTTAAATCCACCTTCATGACAATGAACCCTCTTTAGGCTCAACACACCACAGCACAGCCCTCTGGAGACGATGTGTCTGTGGAGTTTCTGTGCTGAAAGCCTCTGAGCATGAGGCCAGGTGGCATTGACATGCGCCTGTATGTGTGTGCTGTGTGCTAGTAATGAGCTAAGACGCTGAGCTGTCACACATCACTCACGTTTGCAGATCCCGAGAGGAAACCGGTGCCTGGTTCACTGAGCTATCAGAAGGAGTCCAACACTCTGGCTGTCTGCTGTAAGGTCTGTTCAACTCCGTTTAAACACCTCCACACGTGTCTGCCACAGCGCCGCGTGATGCATGACACTATATCGGTTCATTTGAGTTTGTGTTTTTACATGATGCGTAAATGTTGTGAGCAGCAGAATCCAGACGCGATAACCTGTGAAGGTCTACTCGGATAAAATTACAGTAAAGGCTTTTTGACAAACACCTTGAAGATGTACTGAAGCAGGGTGACTCAGGTTGTCATGCCAAAAAGCCATTTTAAAGAAGTGTGCAGCGTTGTCGTCCCTTATTTGTTCCTCCACAACAAATCCTTTATTGTGCGTGCATACATTTTCTTTAAGCGAAACAATTTGTACTGCTCACTGTTTACAGTACGATTAGTAACTTGAGAAGTGAGACTGAGGTTGGAGTTGACTGACTACGTGCACGACCGGCTCGTTTCACAAGTAGCGAGTCTACTAGATAACGAGCTAGATCCTCTTCAGGCGATAGCCGGTGGCTTCTGAGATTGCATTCCGTCTCCTTTTGGCTCCACACAGCCTGCTGACCTGCATTCCACTCTACGGATCTGCGTAAAGCAGATCCTTTCGGACACATTCCCGTCCCGCCTGGTACGGTTTCTGCATATTTAGATTACTAGATGCTTCCAGCTGCGTTATCTGTGGTGATGTACAGAAGGTCAGCTACCATGACAAAGACTGAGTTTTAAAATGGACGCTACAAACACAAGCATTAAGTGTGCTCAGTTCAGTGGTAGTCAACACATTAAATTGCATTAAAACCACTTTGATGTGGGGAATGACCAGCAGCACACTGATTGTTGTTGAACATTAGGCAAGAAAACTGCATACAGTGGTTATCCCTGATTGGCCAGGCGTTAATTGGTACATAAGGCTACAAAACCTACTGAAACGGGCTGTTTTACTTGTCCACAAGGGGGCGCTCAAAGATAATTTAAAGGTCTAACGCTTACATGCCAACATGCACATGCATCTTTTTGATATCAGGTCTGTAGGTGTCTGACATTATAGAAAGCATCTCTGTGTGTTTTTACATATATACAGTACTGTGAAAAAATGCTGTGAACTAAGAATGCTCTGAAAAATATAAATAATAGTTTATTTTTATCAATTTACAAAATGCGAAGTGAGCGAACAAAATAAAAATCTAAATCAAATCAATATTTGGTGTTACTTAGCCTTCAAACCAGCATCAATTCTTATAGGTACACTTGAACAAAGTCAGGTATGTTGTAGGATTATAGTCGGTGTATGATCAACCAATTATACCAAACAGGCGCTAATGAGCATCAATTCCACATGGAGGTTGAAACAGTCAGTAACTGAACCAGAAGCAGCTGTGTAGAAGGCTGAAACAGCCAAACTCTGCTACCAAGGTGGGGTTGTGGAAGACGGTTTCATGTCGCAGACACCATGGCAAGACTGAGCACAGCAACAAGACACAAGGTAGTTCTACTGCATCAGCAAGGTCCCTCACACAGATTACAAAGAAACGGGCAACGTTGAGGATCCTAGTGGCCGGCCAAGGAAACTTAGTGCAGCAGATGAAAAACAGATCAAGCTTATTTCCCTTTGAAACCGGAAGATATCCAGCCGTGCCATCAGCTCAGAACAAGTGGGACCCAGGTACACCCATCTACTGTCCGGAGAAGTCTGGCCAGAAGTGGTCTTCATGGAAGAGTTGCAGCCAAAAAGCCAAACCTCCGACATGGAAACAAGGCCAAGTGACTCAACTATGCATGGAAACAGGAACTGGGGTGCAGAAAAATGTCAGCAGGTACTCTGGACTGATGAGTCAGAGAATATTTGGCTGTAGAAGAAGGCAGCAGTTTGTTCGCCGAAGGGCTGGAGAGCAGTACAATAATGAGTGTCTGCAGGCAACAGTGAAGCACGGTGGAGGTTCCTTGCAATTTCGGGGCTGCATTTCTGCAAATGGAGTTGGAGATTTATGGTGTCCTCAATGCTGAGAAGTACACGAAGTGTACCTAGAAGAATTGATGGCAAATATTGATTTGATTTATATTTCTCTTCTGTTCATTCACTGCATTTTGTTAATTGATGAAAATAAACTGTAAACACTTCCATTATCAAAGCCTTCTTAGTGTGTGTGTGTGTGTGTGTGTGTGACTTATAATCAAATCATTGACTTGTTCTGACATGCTCCCAAACCACAGCTGTAACATTTCTATGTTCCGTTGTCAGCCTGCATTCTTTGGTTTCCTCTTATTCATTTCACTTAATCAGACTCGTTTTTTATACTCTATTATAAAACTACATTTAAAACAAATTCTGTCCCCATTCATCAGCAAATCCAGAGAACCTCTACTTTGCACTTTTTTTAAACCGCTGTTATATTTTTCTGGGTTCAGACTGTTTGTATTAAGAAGAGGAAGACCAGACTAGTGAGTATGAAATGACTCTGCTCGTGATGGAATGAGTGCAATGGAAATGTACATTATTCTGAATTCATCAAGGCAAATGAGCAGCAACTTCTGAAGGGAGCCAATGAGAACCCTTGGTGTTGATCTGTGTTCCATGTTTCAGGATGGCTGGGTGGGATTCAAGGCAGTGCTCCTGAAGAAAAGGCTGACAGCGGCTGACTTCTACAATGGCTACCTGCATCAGGCGCTGCAGAAGAGAACCCCTCATCAGACGGCTGAAGGACTGTTTGTCAGCCGGAGACGAGCACCTGAAGCACATCCGATGAGAGAGAACTCAACGTTGTGATGCAGCGGGAATCCTTTTCTACAGACATGACATCACCGAATGTCCTTTATTGTAGTTCATTTGTTACTCTTGTCTGTTTTAAGACATCTGCATGTACAGTTCATAAATACATGTGCTGTTGTCTGACAGATACAAGGGACGACCATCAACTCATTATTTCCATTTATACAACTGCTAAAGAGAAATGGCATTATTGACTCTGAGATCATGTATTACCTCCGGAGTGTCTAGCTTAGTAACCAACACAAAAACATATTTGGAATGTAAATGATTGACTTTCAGGACATTCAATTTATTTATGGACTGTCTGGATTATTTTGCAAAGAATGGGAGATCATCTGTTCATTGTTCTTATCTTTGGCTCCTTTAATAATGACAAACGCAGGTTCTCAACCTATGACATCGAAAATCTTATGCAAATAATGCAAGTGAGTTTTAATTGGTCTAATATTGCAATCAGTTGAGTTAATATACAGTTGTGTGAAAAAGTGTTTGCCCCCTTCCTGATTTCTTATTTTTTTGCATGTTTGTCACACTTTAAATGTTTCAGATCATCAAACAAATTTAAATATTAGACAAAGAACACAAGTAAACACAAAATGCAGTTTTTAAATGAAGGTTTTTATTATTAAGGGGTGAAAAAAATCCAAACCTACATGGCCCTGTGTGAAAAAGTGATTGCCCCCTAAACCTAATAACTGGTTGGGCCACCCTTAGCAGCAACAACTGCAATCAAGCGTTTGCGATAACTGGCAATGAGTCTTTTACAGCGCTGTAGAGGAATTTTGGCCACTCATCTTTGCAGAATTGTTGTAATTCAGCCACATTGGAGGGTTTTCGAGCATGAACCGCCTTTTTAAGGTCATGCCACAGCATCTCAATCGGATTCAGGTTGGGACTTTGACTAGGCCACTCCAAAGTCTTCATTTTGTTTTTCTTAAGCCATTCAGAGGTGGACTTGCTGGTGTGTTTTGGATCATTGTCCTGCTGCAGAACCCAAGTGCGCTTCAGCTTGAGGTCACGAACAGATGGCCGGACATTCTCCTTCAGGATTTTTTGGTAGACAGCAGAATTCATGTTTCCATTTACCACAGCAAGTCTTCCAGGTCCTGAAGCAGCAAAACAGCCCCAGACCATCACACTACCACCACCATATTTTACTGTTGGTATGATGTTCCTTTTCTGAAATGCCGTGTTACTTTTACACCAGATGTAATGGGACATACACCTTCCAAACATACACCTCGTCAGTCCACAGAGTATTTTCCCAAAAGTCTTGGGGATCATCAAGATGTTTTCTGGCAAAACTGAGACGAGCCTTTATGTTCTTTTTGCTCAGCAGTGGTTTTCGTCTTGGAACTCTGCCATGCAGGCCATTTTTGCCCAGTCTCTTTCTTATGGTGGAGTCATGAACACTGACCTTAATTGAGGCAAGTGAGGCCTGCAGTTTTTTGGATGTTCTGGGGCCTTTTGTGACTTCTTGGATGAGTCGTTGCTGCGCTCTTGGGGTAATTTTGGTCGGCCGGCCACTCCTGGGAAGGTTCACCACTGTTCCATGTTTTCGCCATTTGTGGATAATGGCTCTCACTGTGGTTCGCTGGAGTCCCAAAGCTTTAGAAATGGCTTTGTAACCTTTTCCAGACTGATAGATCTCAATTACTTTGTTTCTCATTTGTTCCTGAATTTCTTTGGATCGCAGCATGATGTCTAGCTTTTGAGGATCTTTTGGTCTACCTCACTTTGTCAGGCAGGTCCTATTTAAGTGATTTCTTGATTGAGAACAGGTGTGGCAGTAATCAGGCCTGGGTGTGGCTAGAGAAATTTATTCGTCACAGCAGCAACAATTATACATAAGCAATTAAAGTAACAGAGTAAAAAAATAAGTATAAAAATGCACAATATACACAATAAAATAGCAGAATTAACTAACTAAACTAAACAGTAGTGCAAAGACCAAACAACAGTGTAACTGTGTTATAGTCTTGTGACTGATCTGGCCAGAGGTGATTTATTATAGAGTCTTATTGCAGTGGGCAGGAATGATCTCCTGTATCTGTCCTTGTGACATGATTATTGCAGCCAATGATGGAGCCGGCCTTCTTAACCAGTTTGTTAAGTCTGTTGGTGTCTCCGGCTCCAATGCTGCTCCCCCAGCAGACTACGGAGAAGTACAGTGCACTGGCCACAACAGACTGGTAGAACATCTCCAGCATCTTGCTGCACACGTTGAGGGATCGAAGTTTCCTCAAGATAAAGAGTCGACTCATCCCCAGTAGTGGAGTAGTCCTCCACTACTGCCCTGTACTCCTCGTCCTGTCCGTCCCTTATACACCCGACCACTGCAGAGTCATCAGAGAACGTCTGCAGATGGCATGACCCCGAGTTGTCCTGGAAGTCAGTGGTGAACAAGAAGGGAGACAGAACAGTTCCCTGTGGAGCTCCAGTAACACTGATCTCTCCTGGGCTTCAGTAATTAGCCTCGTAGCTAACTTTAGCTGCTTTGAATGCATAGCACCAGATCCATGCGTCTATTATTAAATCACAGCTTAACTGAAGATGTGATCAATGGACTCCTTCAGTGGCACGGATCAGACTGCTGGAGCCAGGTGCTCGTCCAGATCTGTCTCATCATTGACTTGTGTTTACCCTGATGCCCTCACCTTTACCTGAACACACTGTTCAGTATGGATCTCCACCCTACTGCCCACACATAGGCCTGTTACGATGACTACATTATTGACTTGCAGTCAAATAAATTGAAACAGCCTCAGGCATCGTTACGTTATTGACTTATTTTACAATATATGACCGTGATGATCGTCATTGCATAGCCTCGTCTACAGCATCTGTAGCTCTGCAGGCAGGAATGACAGAAGCAATATCCCCTTTACAGCTCTTTATTTATGACGGGGTAGCTGAGGACTACTTGGGCAGTAACCTCTGGTTCTGAAGAGGGAAGCCAATGAAGAAGGGCCTTAAACCTGCATTCCCTCTACTGGCCATCAGGGGGCCACTACTCTGGTTGCAAAAAGAAGTCTGATTGTATAGAAGTCTGAGACAATGACTCTACTTCTCCTCTCAGTAAACATTGTAAACATGAGTGTATGGTCTCAGTCGCTAGTTTCAAGTCTTCTTCAATACAGCATGATGTTCATTTAGTAAATGATGGTCCATTTAGAGTCAAACAGACCATAAAGCAGGGCAGAATACTTTGTGACTGACAGGTCGCTGTCTTATATGTTGTTGCTTTGCCCTTTTTGTTAGCAAAAGTCCTACAATTGAGGAACTGTGTTGGCAGTATATTGCCTGTTAGGGCTAAGGAATGAATGACTCTCCATACCCCTGTGCCAAATGTCTGTTAACAGAGCCTCAGAGTCCATCATGGTTGTGTGGGTTTGTTTTAGTTATGTTTGATTTATTTACGTTCCAATTCCAATGTCTGAATATTCTTAAGATTTAAAAGTTCAATGCTCTTTAAAATGGTGAACTTGCATTATTATGTTGTTAAAAATAAATCAGTGGCATACAACGGTCTTGATAATATATTAAATAATATTAATATTATATTATTTATTGCAATTATTTCTGGGACGCTATAGTTATGGTGACAGGCCTGTGAGGGATTGATCCACCAAGCCTTGTGATTAAAGGACCACGTGCTCAACGCACTGAGACTGCTAACGATCACCATGGCAGAAATGACTCGATCCACATGTTCCTAGAACATTCTTCTGTCCATTCATACTAGCCTTCATGCATACTTCTCTCTGGTCAGCTGCCTGAGGGTCTCCGATTCGTCGTTCCACCACTTCTTAAAAAGTCATCTCTATCCTCCTCCCTTTCAAGTAACTGTGCAATCTGCAAACCTCTGTTTTTGGCCAAGACGTTTGATAAAGTGGTAGCTGACCTGCTCACTGCTTTCTGTGTGGGGGAGTAGTTCACAGTTTAGCGTGGCTGGTTTAGAGGCCGTGGGTCTCCTGGCAGTTTTAAGTGTGTTTGGCTTGTTTCCTGTGGTGCACCCGGAGTAATGATGTTCAGCTTAGAGCCTTGGCTTAACGCAGCTCCGCTGCTGAGGGTCCTCTGGTCTACTGTCTGCGTCTCTCCCCTCTCCCGATGCCTGGGAAGCTGTGTTTCTGTGCTCTGACATTTGTTATGCCAGGCTGAGCACCATCGGAGCCTGCCCTCCCCTCCCTGGATCAACGGCTGTCTTTTCTGTTTTTTATCACTCCCCTATGTGTAATTGACTTTGTTTGACTCTTTGTTACTCTGCAGTCATTAGTGATCCACCTACAAAGATAGAAATGCTTGCCCTCCCCTCTGGCTGATCCGTGGTGGTGTTGTCCCTCCACTGATGCTGTACTGTACGTAGGGTGTCATGTATAAGGTCGGGTGTGTTTACATGTGCTGCAGTATTTGACTCACATCTTACTCCTGTCAGTGCCATTGTATGTTACAACTTGTACTATCTGTCGTTTAAAAAAAAAAAAAAAAAAAAAGATAATAAAATGTATAGATATATTTTGAATCTGGTCTCCTGTGTGTGAGGGATTTACTCTGTGGTATCCATGATCCGTTGTGTCCTCTGCCACCTGGTCTGGGGGACCAGCTGGGATCCATGGACAGACACAGCCTTTATGAGTTTATCCCCAGCACACCATTACATAGAAGATGTGATAAAACATGTGGAGCGTTGTTTGTATTTTAAGCTGAGCTAACCACAACATATTCAGTTAAGACAGATCAGACGTATGTTAATGCTGGTCTGAACAGGTCCTCCAGGCTGAAAAGCAGAGCAACTGGAACTACCTGCCGGGATAACAAGCAAGCGTGCTCTTTATCCTCATTTCAATCTTTCCTGAAAACACATTATTTCAGAGTTACATTTTCTTAAATATTTTGTGTATTGTGCTTAACTGCACTTGTTCTTTTAATTGCATAAACTTGCTCCTTATTCTTATCTCAGTTATTAGTACTTTATTGCACTTTACATCTGTCTGTTTTATGTTTTCTCTGAATATTACTTTTTTAATTTTGACCAAAAACAATCTATTGGTATCCAGGTTCATCTGATGGAGAATGATGGCGGCTGGGGAACATTATGGGAGTCTGATACCACACATGCTTCAGTGATGACGTCTGAACAGCCAGCAGAGAGAACATCTCTGTTCACAGCTGATTTGTACCAAAGTCATTATTTTGGCAAAAACGTACAGGCTATCTTTCAATAAAGAGCGTCAGTTTCTCTGAAAGGTTCACAAAAAATGTATTTAATGTTCATAATACAGGTTTCGTCATAGCACACTACCTTTTTATTGCTTTTTTATATATTTGACTCATATTTCTCTTTTAAGTTCAACAGATCTATTTTTGTTTGTATTTGTAATGTTATAATCGTTATGGATTCTTTTCCATTTCCAGTGTAGTTTATTATTTCAAATGTACTTTATGTTGATTGTATTTTAGTCAAACACTACATTTAAGTTATCTTGTT